AGCACTCACACAAGGTCCCCCGCCTGGTCCGAGTCATACATGGCCCTGTTCGTAACGCCTCCGCCGGTCTCGCCGTAGTTGCGGTTGTCCGAGAAGTAAGCCTTTCCGTAGAACCTGGCGGCCGGGGTGGCGGTGGTGGCGACACAGAGGAGGGAGAAACAACACAAAACAATCATTGATCTAGGCTCATCTTTCATTATTTACACACAGACAGTGAGAGAATAAACACACAATAGTCGTTGACCTAGACTTAGGTTTTGGGGACTTACTAGTGAGGCGGCAACGTTTGGTCGAGTGGGATTGGTCCATAGTTGGCGCGGCATGAGTGCACGGGGGGGTACTTGCGATTGTGCCAGGTAAAGGTTGCCGTGATTTTGCGTGAATGGTCGATTGTACGCGAGGTGGGCACTGATGTAGGGAGGCATTCCCCCCCCGTGGATATTTCCTCCCAACATGCGAAACACAACACCACCTCCTTTCGTTATTCGTATTTTCACGGCACGTCCCGCGGACAGGGGGGGTGTGGCTGACAGAAGAGGGTTGCCTTCTGTGTGACCGCCGGGTCTACCAGAACGGCTCACTAAGAGAGAGGCTAGACGAGCGCTTGCGGGGGGGGGGTCGCCTGACGAAAATAGCCGGCCCCGACTACATATGATCAAACGAGTCGAACGACTACCGGAAAAGACTCTGGCGCCGTAACGGAGGGGGGGAGAGAGACATATGAACAGGGGGACAGATAGACAAGGAGGGAGAGCCGCGCGCGGGGGAGAGGTCATCAGAGTTTGACGGGAAAGTCACAGAAGCACCGCTGTTGTTGTAGAGACAAGTATGAACCCAATATGACCGTTTCAAGTTCGCACCTCATTTTCCCGGTGTTAGAGACAGCAGGCCCCTCGTCGCAGTCGTGGTCGGAGAAAACAGCGTCGTCGCGGAAGCTGCTCTCGAAGCAAATAAAGCGCGGTTGAAAAAATGGAGAAACGGATGGCCAGGCACAAGACATCGTGGGGTCGGTGATGGGTCGGCAGCAGGGTGTTGTTACGCGACAGACGGCATGCATCATTCAATCGTTGGGGGCTGCGTCGACGTTGCCCACATTAGACCATAACACTACCGCAAGCTTGTGAGCGCCTGGCATGGCCGCGGGAGAACCAGGGCGAAAACCGGTTGAATTTGGTTCACGGTTTGTCTGTACCAGTCACGCGTGCTTTGCGCTGAACGTCCAGAAATCCAACAGGCGCCGTCACAAAGTCTGCATAGCATGGACGATGGAACAACAGGTTTTCGTTTCGTCCAATCACCTATGTATGTAGCGAGAGAAACACGCTACCAGGGCGAACGCACGCTGCTGTCGCGCAAACACGCATCCCCCCCTCGGCCTGCTCCCCGGCCGGGGCCGAAATCGACCTAGTAAGTCCCTCGCGGGCGAACCAGGCCACAACAGATAGTAGGCGGGTGGTGTCCCAAGGTGCAACTCACCGCCGCGCTGGCTCAGCGTGGCGGTGAGGATGCACAGACGGTGGTAGTGGCCAGAGGTGTGTAAGGACACCGTTCCCGCGGCAGTAATGCAAAGCGGCAAACTGCACCTGGCAACCACCGTCGCGGAAAGCGTGGCCCACGAAGCTGGAGGAGTAGAGAGATTCGTAAACACCACGTCAGCAAGCACCGCTCGCGGGAGAAGGGAGGCAACCGCGGGCATCGCGGGGAGGGAGTGCTGCACCCTCCTCGTCAAAACACCAAAGGCAAGAACCGAGCTCTGCAGAGATGGAGTGATGCGAGAAAACTCGCCGCTCGGAAAATACGAAATGCGAAATACATACACACAGCAGGAACCGGCAACAACATGCACCGCGTACATATACGACTTGCGGTCGAGACTTACATGGCGGTCCCGTCGTTGGCGATGGCACACCCCCAGGCACCGTCGAAGTAACCTGTTGTTTCGGCAAAGGTGGCACGCCAGCATGCCGCCATGGACAACGTGTTTATTTCGGTGCACAGGGGTTTCAAAAACAGGGGGCAAAAAAACAATAGATGAGAGGGAGAGAGAGGTGAGAGACAGCGGTAGCAACATGGACAACGGGTGCAGGAGCACAAGCTTCGCCAACGAGGGAAGCAGTGCACGGGTGCGTGCAATGGCAAGGAGGTGTCAGTCGAGCCCCCCAACCAGAAGCAGCAGCAGCACTCACGCTTTCGTGCAAGTCGTATATACGCGTACACAATCACAGGGGGGGGGGGAAGGGGGGGGGCGACTTCACGTGTGGGAAAATCTACACTGCAGACTGAAACGAGTCATGATCGTAGACGCAAATAATGCGGTGTCCGACTCGTGTACTGACTAGTGATCGCGCTGCATGCATGCGACAATGTCTGCGACCGCAAATATCCTGCCGCCGCCCCGCCCCGCCGCCCCCTCGCCCAGATAACAAACACGACCCAGATTGGAGATACGTACGACGTGTTACGTTTCAGGCGAAACTCTAAGGAGGTTAAAGTTCAACGAACAAGGGGGAATGTTGTAACACAGCCTCTACAATTCTACTCGAGTTTGAGTCCAAAGAAGAATTGACTGCCATTTCGAGACTCGACGATGATCGGTTAGTCTATCCCCCGGTGCTGGCCTATTTTCGACTTCATAGAACCTTCGAGCAGCGCAGATTCGATCCGCTCACCCAAAAACCAACACTTCCACCCGACCTGCGTTGTCGATAAACGTCGCCGTCTTGGAGAACCTTGGCGGTGCCGTAGTCGCAGTAGCACCATCAAGTCAGCGTGCGTCCCACGCCAGGCAGAGGTTCAACAAATGAGAGGGGGGGCGCCAGCGGGGGCGGAAGCGGTGGGAATACATATTTCAATAACGAATCGGGGTCGATTGCCTCACAGCAGTCACGCCCCTAACAAGAGTAGTGGGTAGTCCCCCCGAGCGACAATTTCGTGGGTAACAAGAAAACAAAAACTACTTCACGTTGGTGGTGTCGACGAGCAAAAGACTAATTTACGGCGGAAAACGTTTGTCGAGATGGAAATACACGAAGGGAGTACAGCAGAAAAGGAAGGCGGGGGAGGGGGGNAAAGAGTAGCACCACGTTGGATCCATGTAGAGAACGGTCCGGAGGGTGTAGGAATCGAGAGACATACAAATAGAATAAGAGGTAGGCCAACAAAAGATAAATGAGACATACTCAGAGAGGGAGGGGGGCGTACTCTTATGTTTTGCATGTCTTAGCGGTTAGACCATTGACCACGCGTCCTCGAGAGAACGGAGCAGTGTTCCCACAGGACCGATCGCCGATGGCCAATCGCTCCTTTCTACTTTGCCAAAGGTGGCTCAAAAATGTCTTCCCTAGCCTGCTATCCTAACGATATCTCTTCCCGCCTTTTCAACCCACCTCCTATGCCCATTTTTTCTGTTTCTTCGTGGGGTCGTGTATGCCGGGTTTTGAGACCACGGGCTCCTTTTTTTTTTTTTAGAGCTAATGTGAGAAACAACAACAACAAAACCAGCGTGCACCAAAAAAGTTACAGACGAAGGTTCCCGGGCAAAGTTGCATAAAAAGTTTGCAACTTTTGTTGCAACATTTGTGAGCCATAAAAACCGGTCTTACGAGGCACTAAACTGGTGGTGTCCGTTCCACGAATGAATGAGTGAGTCATTTATTTCTCGACAAAAAAAAACTCCAGCCTCCAACTGCCTCTTCTAGTAAAAAGAACAATAGGAGGCAGTATCTACGCTATCATGAACATTTATTTGTAAATTGGGGAGAATGGTTTGGGTGTACAGTAGTCGTAAATAGATGCAGGAGAACTGCATCTATCTTGCGATGTACTCCCTCTGTTCCGTAATGTAAGTACGGTTTGGGAATTTCAAATGTAAGTACGGTTTGGCATGTATGCCCAATACTGCTGTGCCATGCAGACATGGCGAAACCTCCGCTAAGAAGGTTGATATGTGATCGAACATGATTTTTTTATGCTAAAAAAAAAGTTGATCAAGAAGACGGGCGGGGATGGTTTCTTTTCGTCCCCGGGTCAGAGTAATCTGGGGAAATCCAAGCATTTTCCCACCCAGACACCAACCAGGTGCCGAATCACCGCGTTTTTCTGAGATTCGTTGAAATTCTTGCGTTTTGGCTGCTGGGAGGCACCCCCAACCGCTGACATGCCTCAAATAAATGACGATGGGAAGGCTTTTGGGCGGAGCTTCAAAGATGGGGTGGTGATTTCGAGCAACTTGAGCTGCGTTGGAGAGAGGTGTTCCGGTGGGACACCAAAATGACACCGGTTCTGTGCGTTCCGCGCTTCGAGGCCAGAACCAACAAAAAAAACGGTTCGACCAAGATGGGCCCGAGTTTTACCGCTTTTTGTCCGAACCGTACTTATATTACGGAACGGAGGGAGTATAAATTTGTGCATTGACTGGCCGGAATTGTCTTAATGCAGTAGACTAGTGGGCATCCAACATGTTTATTTGTCCTTTCACAACCAACCCTCTCCTGCCGAAATACTACCTCATCTAAACGACGACTCCCTCCCGTGAAATTCCAAACAACATACGAAACGTAAGCAGCAGCAGCTCGCGTCGAACCTGTTCCTCTCGCCTGTATAATGCTCTATACTGGTGTGTGTTGATGGTAAATACAGTCAACCCCCTTTCTTTCGACAATGATGAGGACCCTCTTTGAACTTGGTTCCGATTACTGCCCCTCCTTTGTTTGGGGGGGGGGTGTACTCAAAGTCGTGCATGCCGTGGTCGTTAGACCATTGACCTCGCACCCCTACAAAGCCGGGACGGAGCACGCCGGGTTTTCACCGGACCAGGCTCTCACATCACCAAGGGCGAAGCGTCGTGAGGTATTCGGCGAGTCGCATGAAGGGTACGCTGCATCCTGCTAAGGGTGTTCGGCATCTTGGTTTGGGGGGAGCGTCGAATTTAAGAAAAAAACTGTTCCTATTGCTGGGTTGCTATATACCTGAAGAGGTACATTAAGGAGGTACGACACTCACTCCTATTGATGCGATAACATGTTTCATTCATCTTCTTACAACATCAAAAACATCTTGCCTTGCTGCATCTAAAGCAATTACTTTTGGTTTCTTTTGGTCTTGCTCCAATCTACCAAGCGCCGAGACACACACCCTTCGATCCATAACCAACCTGTAATACATCGAAAACGATCCAAACCCGTACGGGCATCGTTAGGCGTGAATGCGCGTCGCATTTGAAAGCAAAACAATCTCGCACGCTTCCTGTACAACGAAAGAAGCGAAAGCCGTGCCACAATTAAAGCCTGCTATGTTCGTGCGTACATGCATTCACGACCATCTGACGCGGTTGTACAGTATTCATGCTTGCTGTTGTTACGAACAAGCTAATCAATTACCGCCCCAACACGATCACTTACGGATCATTTTAGGCTACATTCATTCCACGCGTCGTTCGCCGTAAAGAACTCAGACAAACACACAGCATCCAGAAATATACTACCCAAAATAACGCTATCGATAGCAACAAATCCAAATTGCGTGCTCTATTAGCTTGGTTGTCTGCATGTGACTTGACGCCATTAGTTGACGGAGAGCTGCCGTCACCCCTGCTTCAAAGCTAACCGTGCTTTCCAACAAACGTAAGCACATGTCACACAATGACAAGCCTCCGACAAGCCGCTCGGAGCACTCTCTCAATGGCACACGTATAAATTAAGGGATGTGCATATATCAAAAAGGAGGAGTGAACATGGATCCGTACGTGTAGCCCTAGCGCTAGCGACAAAGCGTGTATTCGAAGACGCAGCTTTGAAACACGCCAGCGACTCAAATCGAACAGAAAGCGGCCGCACGAGACCACCATCCATGCGACGTATCCTAGGATGCACTCGGCTTCTAACCGCACCAACAGGGAGGTACATATGTTGTTTGAACTTGAACTTGAATACATAGTATGCACACAACAGCATACCAGGAATACAAGTGCGTTCTCTTCCAAGTATGACAAAACCGCCCGAAAACAATCGATCCAGGTTAAAGGGACCAGAAAATGTCGGAAAATTCCAACGCAACCTGCTAAACGCACGCCATATTGGTGTGCTGAAGACAGAAGGAAAGACGACGTCAACGCCAAAACTGGCTCAGTTCGGCAAGCCACATTCCGAATCGGCCTATCGTATATAAATGATGCATACAAGGATCTAATCCTTCGCTCCTGGAAACGACTGAGGCGACCCTCGCTTCCAGCCAATCAACCCAGACGGGTCTTTCGTTATTTCAAATATAACTGCTACTGGTGAGCTGCAGAGATGGCAAGGCCACCCACATGCAAAACCACGGCAAAAACATTCCTCCCTGAAACGCGCTTGCGTTCTGAGCACCAAGCAAGTGCATTCATTCAATGAACCTCGAAGCAGACAACAAAGGCACAGTAGTATGAGGGGACGCGAGACCGCCGCCTGTGGTAGGAACTACCCGCGAAAAAATTGTCGCCGACACCCCCGTATCCCCACCCTGCGTGGACAAGTGCTGCTCTTGTAACGATACGCTCTTTCTGTGTGTTGCGCCGCCGCTCCAAGCCACGAACACACGACCATGCCCAAGCGCATGCAGCAGCACATGAAATGGTCACGCCCAGGTTCTCTCGAAAAACGTTGAAATAAACAAAAAATATGCTGCTACGGTGTCTCCTCGCCATTCCCCAATCCCTCAACTCTCTACTTCGTCCCACCTCTCCCCTCTCCCCCCCGACGAAGCCTCAATCATCCGCATTCGCTTCCTGAACAAGCGCCAACGCCTCGGCGACGAGAGCTTGTACCTCCTCCGCCTCCCGTTCTGCGTCCCCTTCCTCCTGCTCATCGTCCTCCTTCCAGGTCAAGATGCTCCTGGCAGACCGAAACACCCCGGACGTCGCGGCGTCGCCGCCGCTGCCTCGCGAGGACGCGTACTCGTTGGTCCCTGTTGCTGCAGCAGCTTCCCCCCCCGCCAGATCGTAGACGCCATACCGGTGCAAAGCCCCCGTGTCCGCCCCGGAGGATGATTCGCCCGAGAAGCTACCGAAGTTTTCCGAGTGTTCTTGCTCCACTGCTGTTGTTCCACCCTCTCCGACAAAGTCTTGCACGGGCTCTTCATGGCCGGCCGCCGTGGGGGTCATCGCAAAGACTTCGCCAATGCTGGCAGCGTTAGGCATCCTCGGCATGGGGCTCGCCGCCGCCATCCAGTTCTTTTCCTCCCTCATGTCGACCTCCTCACCCACGTCGATGATACTCTCGTCGCTGTTGTCGGCGTCGTTGTACACCTCAGGATGCTTCCCGACCGCCTCATTAATGAAAACGGTGTCGTCCATAGCCCCACCACCTTCGGTGGTCTCCGGTGTAGCCACCACGTTGGGAGAAACAGCCTCAGCCAAGCCAACACCAGCTCTCCCCTGTACAACAGCAAGGTCGTCTCGAGGCGGTGAGGACGTGATAGCAATGGGGTGAACGACGGCAAAACGGTCGCGTTCCCCACATCCAAACCAACGGGGGTTCTACCATGTAACGACGGTGGGAGGAGGGGGGGCATGGGAGAGCATCTGCGATGTGCTAGCAGACGATTTGGAACGCGCGTTGGGATTCGGTGTTTGTGGACAATGTGCGTTTGAAAATGACGCAGGATCCAAAGAATGTGCGAAGAATGTGCAGCATGACATCAATCGGTAAGCGGATCGAGAAGCGTGTCGATCGTGGCGTTGCAGCACGTGAGTCGATCGCCGCCCGAGCGGGTGTAGTTGGGCAAGGGAGCGGCTATGTACCTCCGAAGAAGAAACTGTCGACTCAATGAGGAGGCGAAGAGCAAGTCTGCACTCTCTGCGGGCAGGGAGGAGGCCATGAGCAGTGTACGCTATAATACACTTCACAACGATGTTACGACACAACATTCGCGTACTCCACCAAACGCGCTGAGACGGCGAATCGCTTCAACACAGCTCGAACTGCGGCGTTGCTGCCTCCTCTCCCTTTACGACCGACCACCAATACAAAGGTCGTGGAAAATTTATGCTTGTCACCTGGTTTACCTCTAGCACAGACGGTGTTCCCGAGGCGGTCGCTGTCGCAGCTCCTGCATCCCTCCGCGACGCTGCTTTCGCCGCCGCCGCCTGCTCCGCGGCCTTTTCTGCCCTAACCGCCGCTTCTGCTGCCTTCGCCGCTGCATCCTCAGCGGCCGCGTCTGCCTCCGCCGCAGCCGTCGCCGCCGCCATCGCCGCTAGGGCGGCCTCGGACGCTTGGGCTTGGCGGTCTGTTGGCCGGTCGGACTGGTAGGACACCATCTCTGCTGTCGGGTTGGTGTGGCTAGGCCCGTTTCGCTGATGCTGCTTTGGAAAAAATAAAAAACGCGACGTCCGTAGCCGTCCGCACGATAAATGAGGTTCAGACGTGCAGCATCATTTGATCTTGCGCGGGATTTGCCCCTTGGCGTAAACTCAGGCCCCCCACCTCCGGCGTTTTTGCCTTAAACTCATGCGCGAGGGCACGACATGACTCTTACTGGATAATACCTACCAAGTAATTTAGTATGGAGAGACAGGTAATGTTGGCAGCGCAATCGCACGCGGCTGCACTACACGACAAGCCCACCCACAACACCATTTTCAAGAGATGCACACGTCGAAACAGATTCTTGAAAGGTACGACTCCGACCACAAAACAGAGTTCAACCACAGAAATGTGGCCATACAAAAACTGATGTCTGTTCGCATAGAAAACATGAGTTCTCCATCCATATTCGCACCCCCAATCTGCCCCTGTGGACCTCCAATCGTTCCTCGAATGTTCCCAAGGATGGGACGTAGCAAAACCATCAAGCACCACCCCTACAAATCCGCGCGCTAAACCCTTGTGTCGACAAATAATATCTGTTCTGCCGTTCAAACCACATCCCAAGTCACCTCTGCCGCTAAATTTGTGGTTGGGGTTGCTGTTGAATAAACTGACATGGTATGGGGGAAAGGCCTGAGATTAGACCGCCGCCACGACCAGGGTCGTTCACTCACGGCTGGCGGCTCCTTCGGGCCCACAACACTTACCGCTCCTCGCGAAGTGGTCTTCGATGGCGTCGCTGCTGCGCCCCTGGCTGTCGTTCGCTGCCCCACCATCGCCGCAGCACGCGCTAGCTCTGCCTCCATCGCTTGCTCGTCAACTGCCTCGGCTTGTGCTTCCGCCACCGCCGCGTCGGCCTCCGCCGCTGCCTCCGCTTGGGCGTCCGCCACAAAGGCGGCGACCCGCGAAGATCCGAAGGACGACCCCATCTCCCACCCAGCACCGATCGAGCTGTCCCCGCTGCTGACCACGCTGTGGGAAGCGACCTTGATGTCGGTGGTGCTCGGGGTCACCGCCGGAGAGACCTCGGTGACCGGGGTGTTGGCGGCTCCGAGGATAGCCGGGATGATGCGGCCTCCCTTCTTGCCGACGGCAAGGGCGTTAATGCCGTTGCTGCCCATCGGTGACGGCAGGCCGTCCACTCCGGCAGGAGACTCGAGCTGCCACGCGAACTGCCCCTCGTCCATCGGCGAACCGCTCGTCTTGCCCGCCTTCGAAGCATCGCCACGTGCGGTGAACTCCGGCGTGCGGTCCCTCACGGCACGATCAGGAGTGGCCACCGGGGTCGCCCACCCCGCATCGCCGCCGCCGCCGCCGCCGCCGCCGGGGTGTCCGCCCTTAGACATGTCTTCCGGCGCAGCAGCGCGCGCCGACTGCTTCGTCGGGATCGTTGTCCCGAAGGACCCGCGATCGGGCGTGGCGACGGGGGTGGCCCACGTCGCAGCCCCTACCTTCAAGGCGGGGCCTGAAGGGGTGGCCACGCCCTTGACCGCCCCACGAGGCTTCGGAGTCGTGAGCGCGTGACCAGCGTTGGGAATCCCGGGCGGCGAGGGCGCCAGCATTGGAGGACCAGCAGCCTTAGGAGTGTCGGCGCCAAGCGTCGGAGGACGCGCCCTGGATCTCCCTGGCGTCGCACCTAACCCAAACGAAGACGAAGGACCCCCTACGCCCTTCGGCGTCAACCCCTCGAAGACATCGACCACCTGGCTCACGCGCGGGCCTCTGGGAGACTTTGCCATTGGCGTCGTCGCCGGATTCAGCCCGCGGCTAGCTCCACGGAGCGGGGTGCGTCGCGGAGTGGTCCCTTGGGCCTTGGGGGGAAGGCGGAGTGCCGCCGCCGCTGCCGCCGACTCTCGCTGCTCGGGCCCACAGGGGGGTTCGCCAAGGTCGCCGCCATGCTTAGGGGCAGCCGCAAAATCAGGCGCCTGATCTGCAGTCGGCGCGGAAGGTGGGACTTGGCGAGTCTTGGCAGGGGTTACCGAAGCGACCGTAACAATGGTGGGTCTTCCCCCGTTAACAGGCGTGTTCCCGCCCGCTTGCGGCCCGGTGACGTCCGTCCTGCCGTGCGACGCTTGTGGCGGAGAGTCTCCCGATCCAGACGGACTTATCGGACTCGACTTTCCCACGTTGCTCGGAGAGGCTGAGAGAAGCCACGAGTAGTCGCTCTGCTTCCTTGCTCCGCCCAGCCGCCTCGCGCTGAGGGCTGGTTTGGGGACCTCGCACTCCGGCTCGGACACGACCATGCCCGGCCTCTTGACCACCGGCAGCTTGCTGGTGACTACTTCGGCCTGCTCGAACGCCTTCGCCGAGATGCCGTCCACCGACTGAGGCGAGAACGCGGTGGCCTCTCCTGCCCCCGGCGTTGCCGCGCCAACGTCCTCGGGCTCCTCGACCTTCTCCCCCATGCTCTCCTCTCCGGTCGCGCTTCCCGCGTCGGCCCTCGCCGCCGCCGCGAAGGCCGCCGCCTCCGCAGACTTCCGACTGCTGAAGCTGTCTTGTGTTGACACCATCCAGTCCTCCAGGGGCGCGGGGGCGGCGGCCTCGGGCTCGGGATCGCCGGCTGCCGCAGCCTCCGCCATCTTCTTCTCCGCTTCGGCGGCGTTCACGGGGCCTGGCGACTGCTGCCCGATCAGGGTCGGGGCGCTGGCCGGCTTCTGCCTGTTCCAAGACGGCGACTTGATCCAGTTCCCATCCCACCTCCCGCTCCCGCTCCCCGGCCTCTTGACCGAGATGCCTTCCTTCTTGTCCGCGCCCTTGGCGGCGGCGACGGCCAGCTCCGCCACAACCTCCGCGTCGGCAAACATGCCTCCACCTTCCTCCTCCTCGTCCCCGCCCCCGCGCGCCGACCCGTAGCCCCCGTTGCTGCTGCCCCTTCCCAAGCTCGCGAACTTTGAGCTCCCCCCGGTGCTGTTAAACTTGCCGCTACCGCCCCCGGTACTGTTGAACTTGCCGCTGCCGCCCCCGGTGCTACTGAACTTGCCGCTGCCGCCCCCGGTGCTACTGAACTTGCCGCTACTGCTCCCGGTGCTACTGAACTTGCCGCTGCCGCTCCCGGTGCTACTGAACTTGCCGCTACCGCCCCCGGTACTGTTGAACTTGCCGCTACCGCTCCCGGTGCTGTGGAACTGAGCCCCGTTCGCCATTGCCGATATCATCGGGTTTCTCGTGACGACCTCGGTGCTCTCCTCGTGTACAGGGGAAAGAGCCCCCAGTTCCGCCAACCGTGACACAGACGTTCCGCCAATGCTGCTACCCCTTCCACTGCTGGCAAAGAGGTCACCGTTCATACCGCCGCCGCCGCCCCCAGTATCGTCTCTGCCGACGACACCCCCACCATGCGCGGCATCGCTTGTACCGCTCCTGGCCACTGTAGCAGCCTCAATGTCTTTGACTCTATCCTTGCGACGCTTGCAGCAGCAGCACAAGACCGCACACAGCGCAACCACCGCTAGCGCCGCTGTGGGTATGATCGAGCAGGGAGGGGGGGGGGGGTCTCGCGGATCGTCTAGGCACATGGTAGCATAGACAGCAAGCGTAGTGAACACACCAGAGAGTCCTGGTACAGTAGAGCACGACAGCTACGACAAGAGCCCTGGTCACGCTTTTCATTGCTTCTCCTGACACTCTCAGCTGTGCGTCGTGTACATGATCGGTAGTAAGCTATTATAGACTACACATCATATCGAGGGGGCTCTAGAGATATCACACAAAGGTCGGTGGTTCTCTTTGCACTTTCTAAAAACTCGATGCTTAAAACCCAACGTCTCCGTACTTCCAAAGTAGACGAAACAAACACTTGCAACAACGAAAACATCCAAGGCCAACAACATACAAGGAAGCGCGCACCTGCAAACGCGACGATTACGATTATCCAGTTGAACGACTCCCCGTCACCGGTGTCAGCGGCGGCAGCCACTTCGGTGTCACCGTCGTCTTCTGCAGCAGTGTCGCTCGAGATGGCCGCTGCCACGATTTCGAAAGTCTCGCTCTCGCCGTAGCTGCTAACCTCCTCGACCCTATCGCCGACGAGAAAGGAGTAAGCGTCCCCGGACTGGAGCCTGGGGGAAGGACGCGGCAACAACAATCAAACACATTGAAAGAGGTGGGTAAGATGGCGAGAACAAACGTAAAAATATACGGGGGTGCTCCGTTGCATCGCATCCTACCGCTCCTGTTCCTGTGTTGCGTGTGCGAATGGGGACAACAAGGGCGCGCGAGGTATAGCAACAGTCCACGACAAGAGCAATTCATGATAAGCTGGGCGCCCTCATACGGACCCGGATATTGACGAAGTCATTGGCGGCCCAAGCAACTTTAAGGGTGTGTACGAGACGGAAAAGCCGGCCGAGTCAGTCCAATCGTGCGGCATCAATCCAACCCGTTCTTGCCGCCGACACAAGCCAAAAAGGGGGTGCCGTGTCTGCTGCGCAGCACGTGACTACCAACCCGCCGCTGCTATACGGCAAGACGAAAGACGGTCGCAACGAACGCCAAACATCGTACCAGGGCAACGACATGGTCAATGCTACTTCTGCGGATGCGTGGTGTCAAATAGGCTTTGTTGAATTTTCTTACCCGTCAGGCAGCGTGACCACAAGGAAGCCATTCGGAGCCAAGCACCCACCGTCGCAGAACTGATCGCCCACCTGGCGCGACGGCAGGACACAACCATCGCGACAAATTAAAACACACCGTGAATGTTAAAAGTCAGCGTTGCCACTATGGGACAAACGGGGTAAAACACCATGATCGGGGTGCAGCCGGCATGCTATCGTCATGGGCGGGGGAGCACACTGTGATTCGTGGAAACAAAAATATTGTTGCAGAATAAAGAAGCATATCCACGAGCTGTGTCCAAAACTTCCACAACCAAAAATGACTATAATACGGACATTCCACACATTTCGCTTTGTCCTCACAATTGAACATGCAGTGCCCAAGGGCTGGCAGAACGCAATGCCTCGGACACTGCTTACCGGGTTACCGTCGTTGAGCAAGGTGATATCGAAATATGAGCTGTCCAGAGAGGCTTCCCACTCCACCGTAACATCGTCGCCAGCCGTAAACACGTCACCGCTGTTTTTGATTGGTTCATCGCAATTGCAGGAGGGTACGGAGTGCGGGAGAGCAGGCGTGCGGAGTCCCTCGTCAGGATTGGTTGTTGCTAATGGACGACATATGCGTTGGTTATATTAGTACTTGAATTCAAAGAAGCAACATTATCTGCAGTACCTTCCACGTGTAGACAAAAATCGTGGGACGAGACTTGGACGGCATGGACACAGGCACGAAGCAGATTGATGTGCAAATACAGTAATTCGTACAAACTCAACCAACGAGCACCTTTTCCAACTTCGGGCAAGAGAAAATACCCATCAAACAAATCTTTCGCGGGTGCCACACAGAGGCTGTGTTGTGTTTAATGTTGCAAGATACGTCTTCAATGTTGGTTCGGGAGACGACATACACGAAAGCTTGCCCGTTTTCCAGATGGAACGGTGGTGTCGCTTCCAGTCCACACGCCAAGGACGGGTCTTGCGCCGCCAAGTACTTGTTGGTGGCGGCGGAGCCCGACTACGGGAATGTCGACTTCAACAGACCACGTCGTCAAGGATCCGACAGAATTGTTTCCCACACGCCTGTCCCCGTGTACATTATCATCCCATTCAAGAAAGCCCCGAAAAAAATGCAGTTTACGTCAGGGTTGGGTTTTTTAGCAACGGCGCCGGCGCCGTGAAACACGCCTGCATCGCCAACCGGCCTCTAATACTACCGTACTACAGCGGCAGTACTGGTGTTCGAGGACAGAGGAAGCACATTGAATGTACGTGTGTGTTTATGTGCATTGCTAGAGTTAACCGCGCCGCCGGCTGACAGCGTAGCGCGTGTGTTCGTTCATATGCTATGTAGAATACTACTGCCCATCTCTATTCTGGGTCTAGTTGAATGGTTGAAATCGGAAATATGGGAGAGACGAACATCGCGGGGGTGTGCCGTTTGTGACCCTGTCATTTCGACGGGTTCATCTCATGTACAATACTGCTAGCTGTTTCCATATGGTAGAGGTAAAGGCTTCCAACGGTTATAAGCTAGCGGGTTGAGACTTTCACCACAGCTGGTCAAACAAGTTAATACACCGCACGCGTGCATCCCAAAACAGAGGGCTGTGGCCACGAGGCGAAAAGGGCAAGTAGCGTGAACAGCAGTCAACCAAAAAACAAACACAAACGAACAAGCGCACGGAGAACGAGCACCATGATCGACAGAACCAAACAGCGTATTTGCCCGCCCCCAGCATTGCTTGGCGAAGATATTGTGAGCTTGATGGTGAGGGTGATTTCATCCAGATTCCGAATCATATGTGATGCGCTCAATCTACACGGCTACCACTACTGAACTGTGTGTAACGAGAACATGAGCACGCATTCATCCTCATCTTCGTAGATATCGCTCGCTTGGGTATCCAGCCAGCGCTGCCGTTGTGACTGCTGCTGTAGGGTACAGCAGCACAATTGCCGGCAAACGCCGACGCATACATATTAACACATCAAACAGAAAATCTAGCCCGCCGCCGCTGAGCCAAAGGCAGTGGCCACGGAGAGACAGAGAGAGCGGCAGGGTAAGGGCGCCAGCCAACGATAGAAGCGCGGCGGAAAAGGAAAAACAGAAGTCCAGGTCCTAAAGAATTGTATCGTGCACGATCAAGCCGTAAAAATCAAACGTATGCAACAACTAGTAGCAGCAAGGCGTAGGAAAGACAGACTAGTAATGCGTACACTGCTGTAGAAACGACTTGCTCGATTCAAACAACCACGCACCGAGGGTCGAAGGTATATATATCAATACAACCTTCGGTCTTGCCGCGTACCTTTCGGGGCTTGTGACGATGAGGAAGCTGTCCTGGGCAGCACCGAGCCAGACGTCTGCGGGTACAGCGGTGCAGAGAGACCAAGAGAGCGAGAGAGAGATAGAGCGACAGAGACAGCGAGAGAGCGAGAGAGAGAGAATGGAGAAGGGCAAGCTACTGATGAGAGGCGTAATCCCGGTTCGGGCTCCAAAATTTGTAGGCTGGCGCTTCTGTGAAGTATGATCCGGCGATTGATAGCGATGCCGCAGCCAGGCGACCCGCCCAACGAGAGATAGACACACTGGTCGGCCCCCTGTGAGACGCTTTCTACCCTCACCCTCACCCTCACCATGGACGAGCACCAGACTCAAGAAGGGCAGAACGCGGGGAGACATGATGATCAATGGTATGAATGTTGCGCTCTCACGCTTGTCCTCTGTCCTCCTCTCTCCTCTCCTGTTGTCTCTCTGCGGCTAGGAGCCGCGGCTCCAACCCCGCCCCTACGGCTTTGCGCGCTCTCCCTGCGTACCAGAGAGTTACCCACAGCTGCAGGGATGTAGGCGGAGCCCGCGATTGGGAATTGGGAAGCGACTTGGACTGCGGAGGCAGAAAAGGAGAGAGCGGGGGAGCCAGGGAGCCGAAGAAAGGGTGTGTCGTGTGTACATTTCACAGCGGCATCCACCTTTCTAAAACCAAGTGATTACCAAACAATGGAACATTTAAATTTGAAAAAAAAAAATAGCTGCCCGTGGCACTGGGATACACCAACCAGCCGCATACAGCACACGCACAGAACGGACGGTCGTCGTTTCTGCAGCCGCGTGATGTCTGCAAGCTTCTCGGATTGAGTTCTCAGGGCTACTATTCAACCAATCGCTGTGCGGAAGCTGCGTGATCCATGATGCCACGCTAGTCTCGGTGTAGTCAATCAAACTACACAAGCAGCACACAGCGATACATAAATACAGGTGCGACCGCAATGTGCTGGTAGTTGTAAACACTACACGTTCTACCATCGTAGCGCGGGAGAGGCCGTATGGAGGGGAGCGCCGAAGGACGACAATTTTTCGTGGTGGCGTGCCTCGCACAAAAGGCGAAGAAATATGCGATGGCAAGAGCCGCGTGGGAACAGTATTTAGCAATCAGGTGAAAATTGACAACATCAACCCTTGAAAGAACTCGGCGATAGACTGCTATACATAAGCGTAGTCTAATAGTTCCTGCTGTAGACTGCTCCAGAGCAGTGCATACTACTGCTGCACTGGTAGTTCCTGCTGTAGACTGCTCCAGAGCAGTGCATACTACTGCTGCACTGGTAGATCTTTGCAGCTGTTGTAGTTCAGTAGTACACGACGCAGGGTTCTAAAAGACACACGAACGTAAATGCCGCCCGTGCGCCACGCACGTGGGTGCAACAGCAGTAGCAGCATTGTATCCGTTGTTAGAGCAAATAATGCCTATGAATGCTATTGTTACAAGGGCAGCAGTACACATCGGTCTACGGGTGGCTGTAGTCACCCCTTGCTGTAGACTAGGTACATGTGAGATATGCGTAGATACTACTGTTGTACATTTTACATTACGCTGTGCGCTCCCGCCGTGGTGGCTGGTTACCGTACACGAAAAAACTCTGGTGGCCAGCTACCGCCCTAAAATTACTGCTGTACGGCCCAAACAACACTGCTGTATGGTAGAGTTTCACATGGCAATGATGCCGAGGCGTGACAAATCGTTAAGGCCGCGGTTGAGGTGGCGTGTCTCCTCTTCAACAAACCAGGAAACGCCTTATATCTTGGCCTTTCCAAGTCTAACCCCTCCACGAATCTACCATCGCACATTCATAACCATCCGCAGATGTCGCTTGTGTACAGCAGTCTTGGCACCTCAGGTTGTAGTCCTTAGTACGCTTCAAGCAAACAAGGTGACCGCGAATCAGCGCCTACATGTATATATGTGTAGGACCGCGAACTTCAGCGCAGCTTTTCCCTCACACATCTTCTTCGTCGCTATACAGTGTAGTCGACTTGCATACCTGGGGTCAAACTCGGTCCTCACAGCAGCTTCAATAATTCCGCTTGTAGCTCACCGCGAAAAAAGGATCCTGAGGAGAATCGCGGACCGCAAATCGGTAGTGTATCACAAGAGCCACAATCTGAGCCAATCAACTGAGCTAAGAACATAAACATTGTACGCAAGCGGCATCTGCGGGCGGTTGATGTGCGATGGTACACCAGACTTGTGAAGGTCAAGATATACAGGCGTGTCCTGGTTTGCTGAAGAAAGGTCTGTTAAGTCCACTGCGGCCTTAACGAGCACATCCCTGACAGTTTTAATGCACAGGTTCATTAAAATCGACCAACATAACACTTGGAACGTACAATACGGACTCCGCGGTGGCAGTTCAGGACGTTGTGTGCTGTGTTTGATCAATTCGGGCATGTCGCTGCTGCATGCCACCGGTTCAAGCGATAAAGGCATTGCCACCATCATCAGCGGTCTCGCGTGTAAAATACCCTCAGCAGATTCTCGTGTAGCCGGTGTATTGGGGAAGATAGAGTGCCAAAGGAGACGGCAAATTGCCGTTGAGTCAACGGCAGGTTGCCATTGACCGCAACTTACAAAGCAACACAGGACAGTATTCGACAGTACGCCAGTCGTTTTCGTTTCTGGCACGGTCCCAAAATCAGTTGAAATAATTTAGACTACCTTCGATCCTCTTTTCTTTCAATGGTGTTTGGGTTTCTCGGTTCTGCTCCAGGGCCTGTTCAAGCGTTAAGAGTGGCGCCCAGATTGTAGGGGCCCTGAAAAACCACCACGGGGGCATGGGGGCGTACTTATACTTGCATGTTGCATGCTGCAGCTGTGTTGACCATCGACCGCGCGTCCTCGAGAGGACGGAACGTTGTTTCCACAGAACCGACCGCAATGGCCAGGCGTAAGTCGTTCGTTCCTACATTGCCAAAGGAGGCTCAAAAATGTTTCCCGTATCCTGTCTAGATCGCTTCTCTCCTTCTCGCACGTCATTTACCCCAGAGGAGCTATCGTATTTTCCTTTCTGCTCCATGCCTCAAACCTCTCTTTGTAGCGCCCTTGCTCAGCCATGTACTTTTCTCTCCTTCCGTAAAATTGACATCCCGCCAATATATAAACCTTCGCACTCGGAGCCGGTTTGCAATCGCAGTTGTCGTAGTCTTCGCCTACCTTCCTTAATCTCGGTCTGTCTACGTTCTCGACTTCGATGTCCCCAGCCCTAACTTCGAGCTCCAATTTTTTCCTCCGTTCAGTGTTCCATGGAAATTCTCCTTGCACCTTACCCCTCCATTGATTACTCTATACCCTCCGTTTCCCCCCTACTTGATCTCGTAGATTCAGGCCTCCTCCCTACAAAAGCACCTTATACCTCCTCCTTGTGCTGTACTTGTTGGAAGGGGTACGGTTGTTCATGAGGTATGTCATCGCCGTTCGGTTCTGGGCTAATATAGTTCCCATACTCGACCCCACCCTCTGCGGGAAAAATGCGGTGTTACGCGAAGGGTCGACAAATTGTCACAGCGGACCAACAAATACGGTCGAATACCAGCCTTACTGGCACGCAGAAACTGTGCCCCAAAAGCCGCCGGGAGAACGAGTTGTAGGCCTGACAGCCACCGAGACCTCTTCCGCTCCAACATGGCCATTAGCAGTGAGCCCATTGTGTGCAGGTTGTAGTTTGTAGCCCCTACTGCTGCTTCCTGCTGCTGCTGCTGATGCTGGTGCTGCCTTTGTCGTTTGCACCCATGCCCCACGACACGCCGTATTCTGAACAGGGTTGAAAAGTAGCAGTGGACCGGTTACACGTACCCAACCTGTGTCACCGCGCCGAAATCTTTCACCAGGCCGTTCGATCCCAAGGCGTACTACAATCATGGCGTCTGTATTGATGCCTTGGGAGAAAAGGAAGCGGCGCTCTCTAGCTTCGAGAAAGCTTTCGATCTGCAACCGAGCTTGGCAGATGCTGGGGCGAACGCGGCTGGCCTGCTCATTCAATCTGGCGAAGCCGAGCGCGCCTGCACCCTCTGTTTGCTCGTGAGTGTCTCATTAACGTTTTGCTGCCATAGTTACACACATTCCGCCACCTGTGTGATAACCTTGTGCTGGCATATGCTGATGCGCTGTTGTTGCAGCCAAGCTGTCCTATGCTTTGGCCGGCCCCTTCATTGAGCTAGAAAGAAACTGACAAGCTTGGTCGTTTGACCGGTTGACTTACGGCAGGCACTTGACGGGAACCCCGACTGCGCAGCCGCGTTGTACAATCTGAACACCGCTCTGCGAATGGCCGGGCGACCCAGGGAAGCGATCGCCTTGTCGTGGAGATGGATCCGGGAACGGCTTCCCGCGGGCACCCCGAGTTACGCCTCGGCAGTTTCCTTGGAAAACCTGGCCGCTGCATCCAGTAGCAACAGCGAAGACGGAGGTAATCCTCGCCCTTCTGCTGTTGCAACGACGAGAGCGGAGCTGCCACGTTTTGGTGGCTCGATAGGAGGCTTCGAATCGGAGGTCGGAAAGAGAATGGTCTGCGTTGAAGATTGCTCTGCTGAAGGTTCGGCAGCCAAAGAACAAGGCGCGGACGGAGCGAGTCGTCTCACAGTTGTGTGCATTCGGTGGGGGCCCAAGTACGGGCCGGAATACGTGGAGAGGCTGGCGGCGGGTGTACGACGAAACTTGCTGAGGGACCACCGCTTCGTGTGCTTCACTGATGATGTGGAAGCGCTTAGCGAGATGCCTGGGGTGGTGGCAAGGCCGCTCGGTTCGGCTAGGCGTGGGGAGTGGCGAGGGTGGTGGCACAAGGCGTTCCTGTTCTCGAGGTGAATCCGGGTGTCGTTGTGACGAGCGACATACATCCACGGTACCATCGAGTCCCCGCAGTATTTTCACGAGGGGGCAATAGGTGGCGGCAGGATACGTCGATTCTAGGTTTCAAGCCCCCGCTTTGGTGGCATACGATAGTTGCAAGGATCATGGGATCGGTCTTCTTGTTCGCTCAACTGCCTTGCTGCTCCTCACTCTTGGTATCATTGCCAAAATCGCCCCCGAGGTGCCGCACATGCAACGTACATTTGTTTTTCGAGTGTGGAAATATAGACGTTTTGATTTTCGGTTGCGTGAGTGTATTCTACGGCCCTGACTAAAACCCTGGGACATGTTGCCGACACAGGGAGACGACATTGGCTGGACGCGTTATGTACATCGACCTCGACACGGTCATCGCCGACTCTTTGGATGACATCGCCGGCTATGCTGGTCCTTTTGCCGTCCTTTCTGCGGAGGGGATGGCAAACGAGCGCCGTCCAGGGGGATTGAACAGCTCGGTCATGTCTTGGGATGCTGGTAGCGAAGTAAATACCGTCCAGCCTGTGTACGATCTGCTGAAAGAGGCATATGCGGTGGTGAGCTAAGTCAACCTCGTTGTCGTTGTTCCACATTGCAATCCGTTCCGGGCCGCCCAGTTCTAACAGCCGTACCGGTCCACCTGCCTTGGGGGTTATCCGTGGTCACCTGTCAACACCCCAACACAGGGTAAAGTCTAAACGAAGAAACGGGGACCCAGAACAACCATTACAATTGCTGTCTTCATTTTTTTTGTGTCTATCTGCAGCGGCTGGGAGGAAAGATGACTCTTTTTGTAACAACAAGAACGTGGGCCACGACTCTGAGAGAGTCCATATGTTCCATGCCTGCGTACCAGCACCCTTTTTTCACCTGCAACCTTGACGCCCCTCAATCCCTTAGGTAACCGCGTGCGTGCACAAGTTCGACCACTGGCTAGAGATGGCGGTGCCTTCGGCAAGAACCTTGCAACGCGCTTTCCCAGATCAGATCGTCGAGTACACCTCTTTGCGGTTGGCGACGGTGGCGGGGGTTAAAGATGCCGGAGCTGGCAATTTCCTGCTGCCACAACTGCCCCAGGGCGCTCGAATAGTGTGTTTCCCCCTCGAGCCCAAGCCTCATAACGTCAAGGAAGACTGGTTGCGACAGATGTGGTTGGGGGAGCAGGCAATTGGGTAGGAACGTACAGAATGGTGCTATTGTAAATATGTAGCATACCTGCTGCTTGGTAGTTTCCCTGATAAATACTCTGAACGTCAGAGAGTAAGGAGCAATGAGGCCAAGTCGGAGGATAAATAAGTATTTTATTAAGCCGACCGTGTTGTTTTGATGTTCACATTTGACGGTCGAACGCCCTATTCTATCTAGTCACACCTCTTCTGCGGACCTGCCACCCTTCGAAAGGGAAGGCGAGCACTGCAGGCTGGTGCGTCAAACATAAAAATTGCAAGGTGGGGACTGGCGCCCACAACAGATGAGACGAAAACACAAACGCACACACCCAGCGCGGTCGATGCTAACCACTCAAACAGGACTAACACACAACACATGTGCCACATGCATAGTTCGCAACTCAAGGTAGATGGGATAGTGGCGCCGCATTCAGCGTGCACGATCAGGGTTTATCGATCCCCAGTAGTCTAGTGTCACCAGGTAGCTCCCAATACCCTGGAGCCTGGCCAATACAATCACCAACTCCGGTCCATCGGCAGATGCAAGAACCATCGCGCTTTCCACACCGGTATGCTTATCGCATGTCGACCGCAAACTCAGCATACATGCTCGGAGGTGCGCCTGTCCTGTCCCATCCAATAACAAGATCTTTCCCAACCCAATTCACCCAGCGCAAGGCGCAGCCAACACCATCCTCATCACATCTGTCACGAGAGAACTTTTTCCATCCCATCAACACATATGGTACACATTTTCCGCCCCAACCCATCACCACCCAAGAGAGACGTACTCATGTCGTCATAAAGTGATGGCAAGTTCTAAAAACTCCGCCTGCGCCAGCCTGTCGGTTACCATCCCATATAGCAAAAACCTGCAAAAGTAGATTGTGGACCTCATCCTAGAACAGAGGCTACCCCCGCCTTGCAATATATACATAATTTGTTTGTCATATACCAAGCTCAAAGCGGCAGCACCAGCACCAGTAAATACGAAAACGAGTCACCGACGGCTGACAAAAGAGTCGACGACGGTGTGCGCTAGATTACTATCGCGCCAGAGTAGACAAATCTACGGAACTACGGGACCAAACAACTCGAACCTTGTATACCATACGTGCACCTGCTTGTATTCTACTGGGTCACATTCAACTAGACGAATGAATCCCACATGTTTCGACCTTCCCGGATCCACAGACCGCCTTCCGAAAATAAAAAAACATTGCAGCGCTGGTCAACGCCATATGAACAGAACAGGTATACAGGGTACGACAGGCAAGACAAGGTTTCATAACACAGTGTTTGAAAAGGACATCTAACTGGGAAGCCCCCGGCAGCCTCTATGATAGCTGCTATTTATCAGCCGGAATGCCCAACGCCCTCCAAAAATACGATGTGCGGACGATCACACATCTCAACAACAGGACGATGCTACATAAAATCTACCGAATCCATCTGCTTTGTTCGCACCTTCAGCACCCATTAGCTCTCTGTTACTGAATAATTCAAATCAGATCCCGTGGAACCTAAGCGAACAAGTGCAGCGAAGAGACGTGACTGACAAAAACATAACCCAACCAAATAACACGTACACCCGAGGTCTCTCCCACAAGACGCCCGACTTGTTTTTTTTTGCAGAAGACACAGCAGCGAAGCACCTCGCAACACACGCAGCGACAGAGATACGCCATCAACAAGTGGTAAAACATGATGGCGCATGTATACCACCCCACACAGGAAAAAACAACCTCCTGGATTCTACCTGAGACGAAAACACAGGGGGTCGCACAATCAAAAAAGATCGGTGCGACATTCCTTGCCGTCACGGCAAAACATGAGAAATAGTATACTCACGTGAGCGTGCCCAATACCCACCCAACCTCTCGAAAGTGTACCTATCATCGAGTGTGGTAGAGCGCGCACACACCATGTCTTAAAAGCGAAAAAAAAATCGCGCTACAAATAAACCAGGAGCGCCAGACTACTACAGCTTGCGAACATTGGGGCAGGCCACCCGCCCGCTAGCTTTCCACGCTCACGGCGGCAGCACAGCCATCAAATCGGCAACCTTGATGTTCTACACGGCAAAAAAAAAGAAAAAGGGTAGTTTGAAGGCTCGCCAAAACGCACCGGCTTTCTTGGGAGTGAGCGTGTTCAAGGCCCGAAGCCATCGCCCCAACACCGAATCAATCGCCCTGTTGTGCCCTGTCTGACTATGGGAGATCTGCCCTCGGGCTGCCCGATTCGGACGCATTTGCCATCATCACCAACGTCCCTGCGGGCGCGTGGGCTTCCTTTTTGGTTTCGTGGCCAGGGGAAGATCGCCTTTTGACCGCGGCCCTTCCGCGTTCAGAGCTCCTTCCGCGATCTTCGGCTGGGCGTCCCCGCTTGGGGGTTCCTTTCATTTCGGCTTCTGCGACTTTGCCATCTTGCTCCCGTGGCCCTGAAGCCATGGCCGCAGCCTTGTCGCGTCCGTGCGGCGTACCTGACTTCCCGGCCGCAGCAGCCGCAGTATTGTCGAAGACAGAATAATCCGAATCCTCAGCATAATCGCTTGTGCCGCTCTGGCTGTACTGCTTCACGAACGCCCTCCGCTTTATGGCGAGCTGCTCCAGGTCGCTGGGTACCGCGGGCACGGGCGCGGTGATGGCAGGGGAAAGGTTTCGGTCGCCACCAACGGCGCGACCACCCTCGTTGGTACTCCCGCCGGCGGTGTCCGGCCCCCTCACCTCATTTTTGACCCAACTATTGTCGGGTTTGCCGGTGCTGCTGTTCGAATGTCCCATCAAGGCCAAAGCCTCTTTGGCATTAGCCGAGGACTGCTCTGCCCTAGCCTTAACCTCTTCCTCGTCGGCCTGGGACCAGCCCCGAGCAAGGCCTCGTGCATACGGCGATCTTCCCCGAGGAAGGGCAGGGCTGCCGCGGCCCATCTTGTCGACGCTACCGGTGCTCTCGCTCCTACCGCTGAAGACCTTGATCTTTTCGCGAACAGACGAGCCCTCGACCTCGCCGCCCGCCGAAGACGTTGATCGCGGAGACATCACCACCTCCTGATCCTCGTCGGCCTCAGCTTCCGCCTAACTCCAATGGTTTTGAGAAAAAAATATCGAAAGGGAATGCAAGTTGGTATTCCCACCGACCGCAAGTACCGTTCGGCGCTTTTAACAAAAGAGAAGACAAATGAGTTCCACGTTCCTTCAAGAAATACTGCGAATACCAGGAAACACTGTCGACACTGACGGGCAAAAAACAGAGGTATGGCCTATCGTGTTGTATCAATCCAACCCACGTTCCGCCAACAACTAACACGCCGCCAGAGAGGCAACGATGAAAACAGACGTCAAACAACACCCACCTCCAACGCCGCCTGCGCTGCGAGATCCGCCGCTCGCGACGCCATCGCGGCGGCGGCCAGCGCCCTCTCGGCCGAGAGCTGTGCATCCCTCGCCGCCTTTCTGGCGCTAACCGCGCGCGTGCCAGGCGAAAGCCCGAAGTTCCCGGACTTGCCGGACGATCCGGCGGAAGTAACAGACCGCCTAGCGCTTCCGAAAGCGCCGAACAGACCGGGGCGGGCGGACCTGGAGCTCCTGATGCTTTGGAACGAGCTAGGGGAGGGACCGTCGGGGATGCCGATCGACAGCTGCGAGGTGAAGCTGTTAGCGTCGCGGGGGCCGTAAGAAGGGGGAGGGGGGCGGTCATCAGGGGAGCCGTTGCCGCCTGCGCCGCCGTCCATAGCGTCGCCGTAGGACGGCGGCAGGGAGGACGTTTTGCGGACGCGGACCTTGCTCTTGTTCCTGAGGTGAGTGGACCGTAGCTCTTCCCAGCTCACGTCTGATGGAAATTCTTGGTCGACATCAGGCTTTGAAAAGGCCGAAGGGCGGAGGGGAGGAGGATAGCAGGAGAGAAGCCGATGGCGGGGGGAGGTAGTGTAACGAAGTGGATCGCAACGAGAGTGCAACGGAAGGTGTTGTCAGGAATAGCGCCGGCGCAGATGTGGTTGCAATCAACGTCATAGTCCAGTGTTCATATTGCCAAGAATAACGCACTGCATTTGACGGTCCTTGGTTTGGTTGTGAGAAGACATGATTCGTAATGAACACGCCTCGAGACTGTTTCGCGCTGAAGCAAAGCTCCCATTCACCAACTAAAGCTGGAAAGTCCTTTTCCGATGTTGCAAAGGACTACAAGGGGGCGATGCGGACAGGTTGCATCAGAGGGCCGGCTACCAGGTTTTAACATGAGGCCAACCGACAACCCCCCAGAGCTACACATTGTATACTGGCTCTAATTGTTCGACAATCGTTAACACTCGCTCTAGTCCAGGATGAGCGCCGTAAGCCAACAAGAAAGTACATGCGAAAATCAAGATGAGGCTTCTCCACGAAGACAGACCGCATTTTCGCGCCCTCACCTTGACTTGGTTTTCGCTGCCGCGGCAAGTTGGTTTTCGCTTCTTTGCTTTTTTCTGCTCGATAGCGTCCGTGAACCCAACGGGGGGATGTTCATAGAGCCCAGAAACAAAACGGGCTTTGTCTGTGGGAAACGCTTAAGGTTTTTCAACCAAGATATTGCACTGAGCCAACCTGCCAAAATTTGGGCCTACTACAAAAATTCGAAACCGCAACGTACCTGTTCATTCCTGTAGGTCTGACGGGAAGGTGTGGCGGATTTGCTCCTCGCGTTGGCTTCCCAGTCGTATTGACTTTTGCTGTCTAGCCTGCCCAACTTCGATGTGTCGTGCATCGACTTCGACCGCCATGAGTTGGCCATCGCCAGGCGCTGACTCCTTCTGCCCCGTTCAATCGTCCCCACCGCGGGCATCATGCCGTCATGCTCCCACCGTGAGGCATCGACATCTTCTTCCACCGTCTCGTAGCGTGCCGAATCCTGTGAATGATCATCTGCGCGGCCTTCGGACTTGCTGCGGCGCATACCAAGGACGTGAGGAGAACGAGAACGCCTTCCATCTGGGCTGATGCCGCTGGGACGCCTGCGGCCTGGCGTCACTGACAACTGGCGTTCCCCGCGGTCAAACTCGTCGCCTCTGGGGGGTCTTCGCGAGCGTCCGGCGCTCCTGGACCTGGAAACATAAGCTCTGGGGGATCTGAAGGACCTCCTACCTCTACCACCGTCGTAGCCCTCATCAACCGAGTGGTCGTACATCTGGCGCCCACGAAGGTCGTGTCTACCGCTGGACATGGTCCGGCGGGGGGTCCTGGAACTTCCAGACCTTACTGGGGTGTACGCGCCCTCTGCCCCGGGCGAACCTGAGGTGGCGGAGACCTGGCCTGGACTAGATCTGTACATGCGGGGCCCCTCGGAGCGGCCCCGTGACAGCGAGCGGCTGCGCTGGTTCTCGCCCATAGCTATGCATCTCCCGGGGCTGGGGTGGGTTTGACTCGACGGCCCATCCGTTCCAGCGGGGCTGGCGCCGTACGACATTTTATCGGCGTCGGTCGATCGCGACGCCGTGCGCCCTTTGAGAGGGTTGCCCATGCTGAAGCCGCGTCCCTCTGAAGTGTTCAAGTCGTTCGACCTGCCGGGGGTCGTGCGGTCGAGCACGCCACCTAGCTCGAGGTCGTGGGCTTCATCCGCGGTCTTCGCTTTCTCGGCGCTGCGGCGACGGCACATAATGAAGCAACCCGCTAACAGGGCGGCAATAATGGCGACGCCTAGCGGAAAGGGTAGAAGCAAAAAAATGACAGCACGAAGGCCGAGGGGGAGGGGAGCGGGACGGCGCTGGTGTCTTTAAAAAAGGGCATGGGTACCGATAGGGCAAGATACTGCAATCGCCGAGGCAACACGTGATAAACGCCGGTCGCCCTGGCGTGGTCAAGTTGGTGCCCCAGCCAAAGTGTCCTAGCGGCGAGGTCAGAAGTCGTCGACGAAGTGTTGTTTTTGAATCCCGCAACAGCATTGCGATAGAGGTAACAAGATGCGGCTGATCGCAACTACCTTTCAGGAAGCAACGGATCAAGCCTTATGCGGTTCCAAAACGAAGGCAATGCAACGCAAACGAGTCGATCTTGTGACCTCCTGTCGAGGCTCTTCATTGATGCCGCCAAGACCGAAAAAAAGGGATGCGGGAGACAAGACATACTATCATATGTCAGCAACACGCCGATTTCAAGCCGGCGTTCTCGCGTCGGGCGTAGGGCCCGTCATCTACATTCCCAGCCCGTCGGGGCTCTTCGCCGTGATGTCTCCCCCCCGTGGCGGGAGCGGTGAGCGCCTACAAAAACGCACGGTTTTGACCCTCCCCACGAAGCTTGCGGAGATTAAAACAAATCTACAAAGTTGTCAATCGTCCAGCGAAGGACGCTCGCTGTTGCTGACGTGCGCAAGACGCTTCACAGCAGTGGTTGGGCAACGCGCGCGTTTCACACCACACCGGCTATAACAGGTATTCGGGACACGGGGAAAGTAGTTGCCGTGCGGGTACAAAAGCGGGAGTCTGCCGTCTGCCAGGAGCAACGCGGATACGACGATGGTTGCTTTAAACTAGAATCAGAATCGAGTGTTAATATCGCCAAGAACAACTTACTCCTTGTGACGGCCTTTGGCTTTGGCAAGGCATGGATCGTCATCAACAAGACCCGAGACCACTTCGCGCTAAAAGCAAGCTCCTGCCCGCACCGAGCATAATACCGGAGGACAAAAACACCCCAGGGCCCCGCGACCGAAATGCTCACCGCAGATTCCGGCCACGATGAGCAAAGCCAAGCTCATGTCCCCGACACCCGTTCCTCCGGCCTCGTCTTGGTACTCTGGTACCACGACGGAGGAAGAGTTGCTTGGTGGCTCCAGGAGTTCGAAGTACGAGCTCCGTCCCGAAACGGATAAAATTCGGTCGGTCACTTCGATGAAATAGCCAAGTCCAGCCTCTTCGCTGCACAATGAGGACAAACAGCAGAGACCACGCGAAGGAAAAGATGGTTGTCAGAATAAAATACAAGGGCAACTTAAGGATGGGAGGGAAGGGGGGGCAAGGTGGGAAGGGACCACGAGAAAACGGAAAACTTCTGCACGGAGACGGCGAACAGAGCTCGTCAAGGGCAACGCTGCTGCGTGGTTGTGATAATGAGCACCAAGCTAAATAGTTATCGTCATCCATAGCTCCATAGCAGTGGGCACTCATGCCGCGTAGACCGATACAAGTACCAGCAGACAGAAAAACCAGCACATTGTCGTTTTCAGACGACAATTTTGTGAGCTCAGAAAGCCAAGGCCCGAAGAAGTACGCACGAGGAGAGTGCGTCATACTGTACCCTTTACTCGGGCACACCAGCCGGGGTCACGCTCGGTACCAGGTGTTTAGTGTCCAGCCCTGAGGCAGAAGCAGACAACAGCAACAACCACCCACACACATATTCTGCACTCACTTGGCTGATATTCTCACCAACACCGAGCCATCGGCGACGTCGCAACCTACCGACTCGCTGCACCAAGCAGCCACCTAGGGAGTGGGGGGAGGAGAGCCAACGGCAGAGATATTTACACAGCAAGGGAGCGAACTGGTGTGGAGCAAGTATTGCATACTGCCGTTGGTACTCTTTTGGGTATGTTCAAGACAGCAACACGTTTGACTCGGCGATGTGTTGGCAACACCTTGCACGCCCTCTATTTAGTACGTTAAAGCAGAGGACACCGGTCGCTGCGTCCACGCACGACTTCTGCAGAAACGGCAACACAGCAGCTGTGGAACGTGCAAAGCTACAGCAATTAATGCTTCAACCCTGTGGAGCACGCCCACACATATCGAACCCATGTTTGTGCTTACGCCACCGCACAACATAAACTTATGTGCAGCAGTGGATAGGGACCCTGGTTCAAAATGACGACAGTACCCAAGTGCATCGATTGTCGAGCGTACGCATGTATGATATATTGTATCGTATCAACGCTACCTGGTCGAGCATATTCTGAAGTCAGGATATTCTATGAACGTACCCCTATATTCAACTCTGTCGGAATGAGAATCGGTGAATGTGATCCTCATGAAGTAGTGTGTAAGGCGTACGGCACCCAAACTACGTACACGTGGACCACTCGACATTGGGTGGTTGTAACCAGCAGCATGAGCAGAAAACACTTGGCAAGTAACTACGCGAGAGCTGTGTTGCAAGTGTGTGATTGTCAGCAGAAACAGCTTTCGCCAGAGGGCTGGGAACAACAGCAGTATGCACACAATGCGGCAAGGCTACCATTCGCCTACGCACGTCATGGAAACAATCATGAGTTGATCAGCCGCCACACAAGCTGCACCGACAGCGACACCGTCGTTGTTCCCGACCCCATAACGGCACACATCTGCGACGCGATGATGAAACGAACCACGTACGACGTGATGCGATAACCCAAGTGCTGCTCTGCCGATCAGTGCTCACGACAACCAGTCCATGAATCATCCTCTCGACACATAATAAAGTTCCGGCAGACCATGGATCTCGGAATGGCTTCCTTGTGGCATGGATGCCTTTGCACAAGAAAAGGCTCTCCTACTGTCGAAACAAGTGGCACTTGCTTCGATCCTCTCTCGTGTAACGAACTACCAGTAGAAAATGTAGAATAGCTGCTGATACTGCTGTACAATCGGCCACGTCAGGCAGAGTCACACAGGAACGTATCCTGTGATAATGGAGTATTATGCAAAGACTCCAACACATCCCGTTCGACCGTGGTCATGTCTTGAACTGGTAATCTTGCTGTGTTGCTATTCATTTTCCTAATAATCAAGACACGAAAAGCGGTTGCTGTACCTCTCTCCTACATGACTCCCACCTGATTGGCTCCTTTGATGAGGTCGATGTCGTAGGGGCCAACCACAGCCTCTCCCGTGGTCGTGAACTCAACCAAAATCGATTCTCCGCGGTAGATGGCATCGTTACTGGGTGCATGCACAGGAGAGGGGGGCGGGAGGAGGGCAGCAAGAGCCAAGAGACAGCCGTTGGACTCGAGCCAGCACGGCTCTGGGGGG